TGGGTCATTAGAGCCGGTTGAGGCAGAATATGATATGGATGGGTCATTTAAGCCGGTTGAGACAGAATATGATCTGGATGGGTTGTTTGAGCCGGTTGAGGCAGAATATGATATGGATGGGTCATTTAAGCCGGTTGAGACAGAATATGATCTGGATGGGTTGTTTGAGCCGGTTGAGACAGAATATGATCTGGATGGGTTGTTTGAGCCGGTTGAGGCAGAATATGATCTGGATGGGTCATTAGAGCCGGTTGAGGCAGAATATGATATGGATGGGTCATTTAAGCCGGTTGAGGCAGAATATGATCTGGATGGGTCATTTAAGCCGGTTGAGGCAGAATATGATATGGATGGGTCATTTAAGCCGGTTGAGGCAGAATATGATGTGGATGGGTCATTTAAGCCGGTTGAGACAGAATATGATCTGGATAGGTCATTTAAGCCGGTTGAGACAGAATATGATCTGGATGGGTCATTTAAGCCCTTTGAGGCAGAATATGATCTGGATGGGTCATTTAAGCCGGTTGAGGCAGAATATGATCTGGATGGGTCATTCGAGCCCGTTGAGGGAGAATATGATATGGATGGGTTATTTAAGCCGGTTGAGGCAGAATATGATCTGGATGGGTCATTCGAGCCCGTTGAGGGAGAATATGATCTGGATGGGTCATTTGAGCCCGTTGAGGGAGAATATGATCTGGATGGGTCATTCGAGCCGGTTGAGGCAGAATATGATATGGATGGGTCATTCGAGCCCGTTGAGGGAGAATATGATATGGATGGGTCATTTGAGCCCGTTGAGGGAGAATATGATCTGGATAGGTCATTTGAGCCCGTTGAGGGAGAATATGATCTGGATGGGTTACATTATTCGAGCCGTTTGAGAAATACGATCTGGATGGGTTATTTGAGCCGGTTGAGGGATATGATATATAGAGGATAGTACATGGCCATGCAGAGATACAAAATTTCTCTTGGAGTGTTGAAAAATATTTCACAAATGAGGGCAGCGAACGAGTGAAATATTTTTTCGACACCAGAAGAGAAATTTCATATCTCCAAGCGGTCATATAATGTTCTATTTATTATGTAAACACCAATGAACTACCAAACCATTTCACTTTAATAGTTTATTGGTGTGAAAGGCGCAATCTATTATGTAGCCATTGCAACGGTGATATTTTCACATGTGACGATAACGAGTTATTTTCACACATGAAGATATCAGGCTTTCGCGCAAATGCTCACCTGGTATTTCATTGGTGTTTATATAATAAGGATGGGTCATTTCAGCCGGTTGAGGCAGAATATGATCTGTATGGGTCATTCGAGCTGGTTGAGGCAGAATATGATCTGAAGGGGTCATGCGAACTGGTTGAGGGATATGATTTGGATAGGTGATTTGAGCTGGTATGATTATTATCGAATTTTGTTTAAGGTTTCTTATCTGCTTGGGTAAGTTGATCCTGTTTAAAGGTTCTGTTTACATTTTTTTTATCTGTTTTGGATTTATATGCCCAAAAAAAGGATTTTTGGCTAGGAATGAAGAACAGAAGTCTACAAGTCAGATTTTTAAAATCAATTCTCTCACCATTTAATAGATGAACATGTTACAGCACATATTTTTGGTCTATAATAATAATAATAATAATAATAATAATAATAATAAATATTATCATTATTATCATTGTAAAAAGCATCAACACATTACTAAGATGTATTAGAATAATAATAATATTGATAATTAGATATTATAATAATATTATTATTATTACCTTATTTAATAATATATAGATTTAGCCAGGGCTAAAAGCGAGGCTCCCATTAGTAAATTTATAATTTAAATTAAACAATAAACTTGTATTCGAATTCCACAATTCAGTTAACTTTAGAGCACATTTATGTGACTTTTGAGGGAAAGGCTACCTGATTTTAGAGAAAAATAATTTGCAAACAGCCCAAGAGTGAACCAAATCTTACATCGAGTTGATAGCCTCATATGTACACTCAAAAACTGGTAATCATCTTTTATCACATTTAAGAGCCGTAATGGCTATTGATCACCGTAGATCAATTAGGCTTAGAAAAAAAATCAGGCCAACGTTTTGGCGTTCGACAAGTTTACTTTGCAAAATCTTGCCAACAAATCTGGGTGCGTGTAAACCAACCTTTTATACCATGGACAGAAAGCAGTATTTCACAATACAAATTGCTCTCATTCAATATTCATAAACTGTTAAAAAAATTTTCCAAAATCACCTATACGGCCATCCGGTTCTCACTTTTGTAGTGCGAGCTGTAGCGAGTGTTTGAATGAGCATTAACAGAGTTACGCTCCAAGATAATAAAGAATTTATCATGTTTATTTTTTATTTGATGGTTTAACGCGCGGCATTTTGAGAACTCCTGCAAGCGATGTTCACTGAACGACTGAAAACAATCGGCATAGCGATTAAAATTGCAAGAGAGACTACCAACAATCAATAAAAGAAATAGAATT